CCCCAAAACCCCAAAACCCCAAAACCCCTTAAGTCCAATTTACACTTATTTTTTTAGAAACAAAAAATCAATTATAAATGATGATAGATCTGACGAATTAGCTATTAGCATCTTTATAAAATCTAGGTCTAAATGTCTATTTTATAATATAATAATAATCTTTCACTTTTAATCAGCATTTTCCGGGTAAAAATAGTTTATAGTTAGATTCTTAGGTCTGAAAAAGCCCTTTACTTTATTTAGGGAGCAATATACATCTTGGTACTTATCAAATAATCTACCACCAATATCAAAAGCAAGTTAGTATATATCTTTAAGGATCTTATCACAATCACTAATTTATATCATAAAAAAAACAATATTCTTACTCAAATTCTTCACAGGCTAGAAAAATCTAAGCTATCCAAATAAAGGTCTTCACTTTTATAATCTAGTATTCCTCAGCAGGCAGGAATTCCTTATAATAATAAATAATCAGCAGGTAATCATGAAAAGACTGTAAAGCTAGATCTGCAAATATCTAACTCTATGCTCTAGCACACATTTTTCCAATAAGATAAAGGAATTTAGGATTCGAGTAAACAGAAAAAGATGAGTCTTTAAAGTTGTCATCATCATCCAATACAATCTGGTTCGTATTTATTGCTAATAAATCATTCATCTCACTGATTTGACTATGCTATTTGGCAAATTATATCTGAGCTATTTTTGGCATGGAACTCTATGTTTGTAACTAAATCATATTATAATCTTACTCTGACAGATGATCTCTTGGTATTAGTAGTATTGTTATTATTGTTGAAATCATGATAAATATTCTCAAAAGCATTATTGTTAAAGTACATAATAGAAGATAGGCTTTTACCGACAGCTGCTGCTATACTTCGACGATTCCTGTTATTATTACTTACTTCTCTTTTCTTGTACTATGAATGCGATTTCCTTGCTGACCTCTCAATATCAATATCACTTTTTTCTTCATACCTTGGAGTGATATTGTCAAATCCCTCATATTCTAATTCATCTTCTTCTTATATGACATTATCGTTGTTAAGCTCACTCAATACAGATTAATGTACTTACTTTGTCTCTTCCTCTGGGTTATCTTACTGAATGTTTGCAAAAGCTGTATGAGAGTGATTTTTATTGACACCTACCATGCTTGTCATCTATAATTATGGAATGACACTTCTTGTAAAGTCTTCATCCTTCTCCTCGATAACATATAGATCATCCTGCCTGAACATTTTTTATTAGAACTTTTCGCTAAGAGGAAAATCATAGTATTTGTCAAAGTCGAATGGCAGTCTAAATTCTTTTATTTATTTAAGGTCAATTGGAGGAAGCACTTATCTCAGTTTAAGCAGAGTTTTCAAAGCATCCTCAATTCGATTTGATTTATTGTCTAATTTAGCAATTTAAATATGACTTTCAACCCATAATGTAGTTGAGATCTAATCTCCCATATCCAGTCTATCTAAGATTATCTGAGAAAGCTGTTGAGCTGCTTTAAGATTATTAATAGAGATTAGGAATCTAAGATACTCTAGGAAACCTTCTATTCTATATTGATGAGATCTTATTAATTTTTAAAAAATCTAATCTGCTTCATTAATGTTCCCTAATTTTAATTTAAAGCTACTTAAGATTACCATAAACCTTATATTAGAAGATAGCTTTGAAAATTTCAGCCTCAAAAGGATCATAGTCAATAAGTTTTTAGTGAAGGTAAAATAGATTCTAATCTTTCAAGTATTTGATTTGATTAGCATCATTACTATCTTTTAGTTCTTCAATCATCTCAATCAAGCTTTTAATTCTGTAGTAGCATTTAGTTTACCTATACTTACTTTATAAGGAGATTTTAGTCCACTTTCTTGTTAAATATATTTATATGATTGATCTTAACAATACTCCTTTATTTAATTGCTGTCATTTTAAGATAATCTTGATAATACTTATAAGCTTTAAGCTTTCTATTCATAACATCAAAAGCATATCCAATGAAAAACTAGGCAACAGTAAAATATAAGTAGCTTACTTTGGCGTTTTTATGCCGAGGTAATAGAGTTGTTCTCATGCATTCTTCTAGAGCACCTATTCCAGATCCATAAAATTCTAGCTCTCCTGACTGAACTACATACTTTCCATAAAGGTACAATAGACAAGTATAATGAGGAGCTTTTGAGTATTCCAGCTATAAAAGGGTAAATAGCTTGTTGTAGTCTTTGCTCATAAATAAAGTTTTAGCGTAAATCTCAGTTATTAAAAGTCTATTATTGCAATCATAAGTGATAAGTTCTTACTTTTCTTAATAGCAAATGTAATCTACTGCGAATAGAAATAATCTCTCTGCAAGATCCAAAGAGTTAACAAGCTAATTTCCTTGCTAGTTGCAATAGTTCCATAAAATTACATAAGCCTCTGGTCTGCTAGGATTCTCGTCTATCAGGTCCTTCAATACGTCTATTCCTAGTTATTCCTTATCCTCTTTGATGTACATATAAATCAGGGACCATGCTAAATAACCATAGTAGGTATCATACTCCTTTATTCTGTTGGCATAAATCTCTGGCTCTTTTGCATTCCTAATAGGCTAGTTCATCTTAAGGGATTCTATTATGACTCTTAGAATGCCAAAGCATGCGAAAAATCCCTCATCCTTGTTTTTACTGCATCTTGAGAGATAATTGAAACTGTCAACTAAAGATTTGTTCATATCAAAGACACATTATTATTTCTCCTGGTCTGTTAGTTCTTAATTCTGAACCTATTAGTTGTGTTCCAATGATCTGTAGAGATTATTGAATCCTAACCATATCATATAAACTGCATCTTTCTTGTATTTGATTGCAAGCTAAAAATTTTCTTTAGCTCTATCGAAATCTCTGATATAGAAATAGTTTTTAGCTATTCCAAAGTAAGCCTCATGACATTTGGGCTATAGCTCTAGCATTTTATGAAATATCATTTGACTTTTGCTCACCTCATAATCAGATATGGTTAATGAGTGCATCTTGTAGCCATCAATGAAGGATAAAAGTATTAGTTCCATCAATAATTTTGAAGTGTATGATTTGAAAAATTTATTTCTTGCGCTGCTCTGATCAAATTTATCTGATTCCATATAAACATAAGCATGTTCTTTTTGCTGTAAACTAAATTCTTTATATAACTTGGCTTTGTCCTTTTACATTTTCTCTATCTCTTAAATCTAAATAGGCTGAATATTGTCTCTTGCAAAGGCTTTCCTATCTTATTCCATCTATATTTGCATTTAAGTCTTTTTAATTTTTAGATTATCTTCTGATTCATCTTCGCTAGAATATGTATCATTGTTCATTTATCTAATGTTTAGAAGCTATTATTGCCACAACAATTCTAATTTTTAGTTTACTTCTAGGGCTGAACTAGGATTCACATAGTCCAATTTATTTTCATTGCTTAGCATCTAGGAATTCATTCTTATCATAAGAGGATCATCCTGTGTCCCGCTTATTCTTCTTTGTTTTCTAAATGAACCTAATTCAAAGCTCTGAGTTCTTGAATTGAATTCTTAAGAAATCAGATCACTATTACCTTCATTTTACTCATTCTTTTTTAAGGCTTGGCTCTCTGCTATTATTTTATCCATCATGTCCAAGGCTAATGTATGGCCTCTAGGAAAGTTAAATTCATTGATATTCTTTTCAAGTAGCATTGATTCTGTTCTGTGCACAGAGCTATCTTTCTTTGATCTTTAACTGATTTCATCAATTAAATCACCTGACCCAGGTACGATGAATGAGCTTAGATTAGACTCCTCGTTACTTTCATTAAGAAGTACTTTTTCATTATCATCTACCTCATCTTAAAGCATTTGCAGTTCCTTAAGCATTTCAGCTTCTATCTATTCTTTATCCTTAGGCTTAGCTTGTTAAATTTAACTAGGGCTGTTTTGAAAGCTTTTCATCATTTTTTAATCAGTTTATGAGATAAATATTGGTTTATCTTGCTCAAGTATCCTAATTTTTTCCTCAGGTTCAAACTCAAAATATCTCTGTTCCTGTTATTCTTATCCTCTCTGTCTCAAAGACTCTTGTCTTAATCTTTCTAGCTCGCTTGATTCTGATAAATCATTTGATTAGTAGCCTTCCAAAAGATTAATCTCATCCTCATCATTTTGATAGTACTCTTCCTCCTCTTACTTTTCTTCTTCAGAATCGTCTTCATTTTCAGATAAGATTACATCCTTCACATCAATTTTATTTTCTTAGAATGGAGTTTACTCAAGTGCACCAGATTAATGATGTTCTTTTAGTATCTTATTCAACTTTGAATTCTTGCTAGTGATAATCTTCTTCATTTTCTGCTTCATGATAATATCATTGGACTTAACCTTCATTTTCTAATTTTAATTTGACTTAATTGCATTACGATTAGCTCCATTTTATGCAGAATCCGTGTTGACCTTTGGTGTTGGCTTAGGTAATATTCTGGGTATCTTGGACTCTAGTTTTGACAATAATTTATTTTAACCTATACCATTTCTGGTTTATTCAGGAGAGGTTATAGTTAAACTTGACTTTAATTGCTTAGGACTAGTAGACTATTTCTTGATATTAGTAGTAGATCTTGTTTCCATCATCATTTTTGCGTTGAATGGAAATAATATTTTAAGATAAAATTAATAAATAATTGATTCTATTAAAGCTTTGTTAAATTTCATTAAGTGTACTAATTTAAATCTTATAAACCACTCACTTATCAATTAAATCCTATATCTCTTACTTCAACTAATCCCTTCTATTCCTCAGAGTGATAAGCAAATCCATCTTTGATCTTTCATAGTCCTTACTTAGAGTCGATGATCTTCTCACCTAAGACACCCCAAATTTTTTAGTATTTGCTTCATTTTATGATCCAGATTCAATGATGAAATCCAAACTAATAGTTTCTTCAGCTTCTTGCTAATCTTACTCTTTTGCATCATTACTTTTTACTGGGTTTTCTGATTTTTTTATTAGTTTATTTTCCATGACAAAGTCTAGGTCTTTGCTAATGAAATTGATTTCTGTTGAAAACTATGCTAATTCCTTTAAATTACAGCTATTAGCAATTAACTGTTTTTTATCAATCTATTCTTCGCTTTTTATTTCTTGCTCAACCGTAATATCCTGATTTTGAAAAGTAGTTAGTGATTTCAACTCTTCAATGTATTTTTTCATTAGCAAGCTGACCTCTTAGTTCTCAAGAAACTCACTGATACCCCCAGCATCAACTACATCAATAAACTACTCCTCACTTTGGTTTTGAAATCTTTGCGAGATAAACTTCAGTAAGAGTATTTTCATCTCTGGAAATATGCTTTCATTCATGTGTCTGATCATCTAATCCCATCTCAGTTGCTATATTGGATCCTCAACATATGCGAATCTGCCTGACTCTGCAACTCTTAGTCTTGTTACATCTTGAAAGAATGGGATAATTGAGTATAAGACTGATGATAGATAGAAGGAGAAGAGCTAGAAATTTTCATAGAGCTGGCACTCTTTTGCTGAGTAGACCTCTTCTTTATTCATCGGTCTAATTATTGCTTTCTTAGTAATGCTGAGTTTGGGTTCAGTAGTGATTCTTTTGTGAGGCATCTAACCAAGTCTAGGTTGTTTAATTGAATACTCTACTTTGTATGTTGGGTTGTCCTTGAATAATAACTTTAGCTAAGCAGGAGTGTGCATCAAATGACTTTGGTGATTTGCAAAGAATTCTTACTTAGCTTTAGGGTCTGGATTAGCCAGCATTTCCCTAAAATCCTGTATTGCTTTTGAATTTAAAGGGTGCTTTGGGTTGAGATAGTACTGCAACTTCTTCATAATCTCCTGGTAGAGTTCAATAGAGTTAGAGTCTTAAGCAGCATCTTTAGAAAGCAGATCAGCCATTTTAATGTTTGTAGCATGGTGAGCGGACATTTTGATTTTATTTTAAGCTTGATATTATCGATAATTTGAAATTTAAAGTTAATAGCTTAAACTGATAATAGAATTATGTGATTACAAATTGAAGTCTAACTTTGAATGCAATATTGATAAATGAGAAGAAAAGTTAAATAAAACAAAGAGAATATAATCATGATCAAATTAAAGTGAGGCGATAACTCCTTGAAGTTTGTGTAAGATTAATTATCCAATAGAAATCTTAAGCTAAATATTAACTCAGAAACCAAGTCTTCTTAGCCATAGCTTTACTTTTTCTGTGTGAAATCCGCTGATCTCTAATCTCCCTTGCTTTTCTACAATCGGTGAATTTGATACAATTTTTGATAATTCAGTCTTGAATTCATCTACATCTCCAAATAGCTTCCTTACTACTGTTACTTTTCGCATACCTCCATTTCTAAAGTCAGTATAAACTGGTAGGTTATTTGAATGAGTTCTCTCAACCTAAACATAATTAATTTTAGATATCAAATACTTACTTAGAATGGAAGTGTTTCACTTAGACCTAGAGGCTTGATCAAGGTGTAGTCTGGAGTTGGTAGTTCTTATAACTTGTATTTCAATGGAATAGGAGGTTGAGTCATCTCATTCCATCTTTGTTTAACATTTGGGTGAAGGTTCTCTAGCTTTGGTTTGTGTTCCCTCACAATCATCTTCTCAAGATATTTATCAGTAAGATTATTGTGTCTCATATTAAGTTTGAGACCTTTGAATCTAGTAAAATGACTGGCCATTGATAATTTTTAATTATTATTCTATAAATCTCTAATTTATCTAGCATCTCGGGGTTTTGGGGTTTTGGGGTTTTGGGG